TTCGAATAATTTAATAATTTTGGATAAAGGATATTTCAAAATATAAAAATTATCAACAAATATATCATGTGTAAAAAAATATTACATGCTTTTCAAAATTTTACATACTTTAAAAAAACAGTTTATCTAAAATTATTAAGTAATTTTAAAAGCTTATGCAAATTGTTAAATCATGGCCATTGCCACTTACTAAAGACACTTATGAAAAAAAAAAAAAATCACATTTCATTACAGCACATCAACAGTTTTGCTCTGTAACGTGTGAACTGAGAGGAATTTAACCCCTTAGTGACCAGAATGTTTTTCAATTTTCTTACTGTTTGTGACCAGTGCTGTTTTTACATTTCTGCGGTGTTTGTGTTTAGCTGTAATTGTCCTCTTACTCATTTACTGTACCCACACATATTATATACCGTTTTCCTCGCCATTAAATGGTCTTTCTAAAGATACCTTTTTTTTTATCATATCATATATTTTACTGGAAAAAAACTATAAAATATGGTGAAAAAATGTAAAAAAACCCCACACTTTTTCAAACTGTGACCTCCAAAATCTGTTACGGATCTACTGCCAATGTACTTGGCTTTTTTGGAAAGTCATACTGCTATAAGTACAAGTAGCACTTTGATATTTCCAAACCATTGTTTTTCAATATTAACTAAAGTTACATTGTAACACTGATATCTGTCAGGAATCCCTGAATAACCCTTCACATGTATATATATTTTTTAATAGAAGACAACCTAAGGTATTAAACTTGGGGTATTTTGGCTCTTTTCATGCAACCATTTTACCACCAAATTATGCCAAATTTAAAAAAATAATAATAATTGGTGATTTTTTTACACACATAGCAATTTAAGAATACATATACTGAGAACTTTGAGGGTTACTGCCAAAGAACACCCCAATATGTGTTCAGCAACATCTCCTGAGTACAGTGATACCCCCATGTATAGGTGTGTCGGGTTATCTGGGAGTTAAAAGACCTTATTTGGAGGGTGCGCATTCCAGTTTTCCAACTTGGAATTTTCACATCTGGTCATCGTGCAGCCCATGTCCTATTTGGGACATTTGTGAAGCCGGCCTCTGTAATTTACCCCCATCAAACAATATATTTTTGAAAAGTAGACAACCCAGTGTATTCAGTATGGGGTATGTCCAGTCTTTTTAGTAGTCACAAACACTGGCCAAAGTTAGCATTGATATTTGTTTGTGTGTTAAAAATGCAAAAAACAATTATGACCACTAACCTTGGCCAGTGTTTGTGACTAAGTGGCTACTAAAAAGGACTAAACATACCCCATTTGCAATACATTTGGTTGTCTTCTTTTGCAAATAGTATGCCATCCTGGGGCTAATTCTCATTCCTGGCTACCATACTCTCTCAAAGGCAAAATATCCAATCTGGCAAATTTCAAAGTGAAAAAACGGCCTTATATTTGACTGTGTAATTTTTAAAACACTATAAAAAAATGTACATGGGAGGTACTGTTATACTCTGGAGACTTCATTGAACACAAATATTAGTGTTTCAAAACAGTACAACTTATCACAACAATTATATCAGTGAAAGTACAGTTTGTGTGTGAAAAATGCAAAAAAAGTCACTTTCACTGACAATATCATCGCTGTGACATGTTTTACTGTTTTGAAAAACTAATATTTGTGTTCAGCAAAGTCTACCAAGTAAAACAGTACCCCCCTCCCCCCCCATGTACAGGTTTTATGGTGTCCTAGAACATTACAGGGTTAAATATAGTGCTATCAAATTAAATTCTCTGGACTTTCAGACTGGGTTGCCAGACAGGTCCCCCAAATTGCAATCAATAAAATGACTTAATTATGTAAAAATATTACATATATAATTTAAATATATATACATATTTATATATTTGAAGTCTAAGTGTATATTTATGAATAATATTTGTATATTTTGTATTATTTTTATTTATTTATTTATATATACATAGATATATATAATAATTTAATTCTAAGTGTATTTTGATATAAATATATATATTAATATCAAAATACAGTTAGAATAAAATTACATATATATATAATCTTTTTTTAAAATGTAAAATTATTTTTACATTTTTGTTTATTTATTTTTAATTAATTGTTATTTTTTTTATATATATATATATAATTTATTAACTTCATTATTTAAAAAAAAAAAAAAAACTTTTAAAAACTTTTTTCACCAGCAGGGGGACTGCCTGTCAGTTCAGCACAATGGACACCTATTGCAGCCACCTATTGCGGCCAAGTGACCGCTCTTTCAGAGCGATCACATGGCCCCTGGGGGTCCTAATTTGCAGAGGGGGGACTGTTTGGGCTGTCAGTCAGTCCACCCATAGAAGAACAACACCGATTGCCTACATATTGAGGGAGGGAGAAAGAGAGGGAGAGGGAGGGAAGGGGTTAATTAAAATAAATTTTTTTTTTTTTTTTACATTTATTTTCTTCTTCACTGAGTGCCTCGACCCCTGCCTGATGGCTTCCAATGCTCTGAACTACACTGCCAGGCGCCATGTGGGGCAACCTGGAAGTGATTGCTCTGGGGGATCGATCACCAGGCAGCTCGGTAATGAGGCATCACTGCAATACCGTTAGAGCGGCTGGAAGCAATCATGATCACTTCCAGTGCCCTAAATAGCCGCAGACGTACCTGATTTGTCCGCGGTCCTTAAGGGGTTAAATCTAATGTAAGACTATGTCTTTATGTTGTGGTAGTGTTTCTTCTTTTAAATATAGTCTCCTCCTTTACTGTGTTGATTCCCTTTATATATTTAAATGTTTCTATCATATCCCCCCTGTCTCGTCTTTCCTCCAAGCTATACATGTTAAGATCCTTTAACCTTTCTGGTAAGTTTTATTTTTTTTTGGCAGAATATTGACATTCGATTAACAAGATAGGGCAATCACTGTGAACAGGTGTTAAACAAGTATGTAATATTTTTTTCCACGTGTTCCATTACATTGTTTTTTTCATCATCTATTGGAATTAGCTTAATGAAATAAAAATCTGGGTTTTTAAACTTAACCAAGCAGCAGACTTACTTCTTGGAATCGCTCAGAGTACCAGCTGAAAAAAAAAGACTTTAGATGGGTAAGAGTATATATATATATATATATTAACAGTATTAGTTTTATTGGCTATTTTCATGGTGAGGGGGGTGGGGGTGAGGCATGGCTAGGAGTTTGGCGATCCCAAGCAACCTGGTGGGGTGGGGAGTCGGCATGCTAAACTGACCCATCGCCAATGGTAGGGAGCTAGGAGGGACATAAGGTACTCCCCCCTGAATATTCATTTTAGTACCCAAACCCACCTGTAATGGGTGGATAGCTGAGTGTGGCATTAGATCCTCCTCCACATTATTAATATTAGGCCCTCAACCTGCTGCAAATGGGAGACCTGGATGACACTAGGTTTCCCTTATATTTTAATAGCACCGACCCGCTGACCTTGGGACGTAACAATGTCCCCCAAACATTTATTTTATCAAATAGCTCCAACCTGCTGGCTGCTTGAAGTGGGGCATTTGTAGATACTGGGCAGCAATGTCTGCCCAGTCGCTAGTTGCAAACATTTAGAAGACATAATCCCACCTGCATAGGGGCATAGGAAGGTAAAATGCCTTCCTTGTAGTAATATGGGGGTCTAATTGTCTAATTGGCCTCCAGCCACTACATAATTAAATGTTGCACTGCAGGGGGGAGGGGGGGAGAGTTTGAATTATTTTCCTGCTGGCTGATAGCGCTGACAGCGGGAAAACAGAATTAAAAAAAAAAATTGGGTCCAGATTAAGCTCCATTCAGACAATGTTCAGATATTGCAGCCCAATTGGCCCCCGTATGCAGCCAAATGGTTTTGCCCCATTCAGTACTGGACCATTTAGGCTTTAGTGAATAACCCTGCCAGTTTAGAGAATTCACTCCTAGATCATTTTAAAGTAGAGCCATCTCTGTGCAGCTGGTGCAGGGATTGGAGTAGAGTTGTGGACTGAAAGGGAAGCTTAAAATGGACAATCTGAAGCTCCCCACCATATTCCTCGTGATACATGATAGAGCTCTGGGATATACTCAGGTAGTGGAGTACTGTACATTCATGATGCTCTGTAGCCCCAGTATAAATACAGAAAATTAGAGCCACAGACTACACAGTGCAGGGTGAAGAATAAAGTATATTTAATTATGGTCCAGGAGACAAAACAAAGATACAGCGTTTCTTTGATAAAATGATTAAGGTCACCCAGCCAAAATGTTGTATCTTTGTTTTGTCTCCTGGATCATAATTAAATATACATTTTTCTTCATCCTGCACTGTGTAGCCTAGAAGTATACTTCTGAAGCTCTGGGAATTTAGATTATCCTCGGTCTCTGTAAGTAGCCTAGGGTCCTGTAAGTGGTCTGGAACTCTGTAAGTAGCCTCCGTAACTGGCAGGACCATGGGAGAGTTCTGCAACAGAGATCTTTTACACTTGGGGCTCAGAATCACTCTACTAGTCCACCACAAACACTATCTAGACTTGTGCATGGAAGAAAAATTTGGGTTGGCCTAATTTGTATTTAAATATAAATTTGGTTTGGGTAGTCTGAAATTCATGTGGCAGTTTGATTCATATTCACCCATACAAACATTTCATAAAACTGATTAGGATGAACAAAAATGCACAAAAATGGTCCAATCCGTGTACTGAAAAATATATCCATAATAAAATATAAATATTATAGATCAAATAAAAATAAGTAAGAGAGAAAATGAGGATCTGAAACTAATTAATTAATCAATCACCATTTAATGTTTTTCCCCTAACTATCAATCATCTTTTTCCACATGAATCCTCTCTTTTTGTTGTTGCTCCAGACGGAACTCCGAATCACGACACAAATTAACCTGTTCGTTCATTGTCTGGTTCTTTTGTTTGTGATTAGTGATGTCCCGAACGGTTCGCCGAACGGTTCGCGTACGGTTCTCCATGGACTCCAGTCAGCAGACACATTCCAGCCAATCAGCAGCAGACCCTCCCTCCCAGACCCTCCCAACTCCTGGACAGCATCCATTTTGAAGCTGCATTCTTAGTGAGCTGTCCAGGAGGTGGGAGGGTCTGAGAGGGAGGGTCTGCTGCTGATTGGCTGGAATGTGTTTGCTGACTGGAGTCCGCGGCGTACCGTTCGTGGCGAACTGTTCGGCGAACCATTCGGGACATCACTATTTGTGATACATCCACGTGGCACTCTGGAGTTACAGAATTCGAACGACTCCCCAATCACACAAAATTCAGACAAATCCCAGCTCCTTTAAAACGAAATGCACAACTCTAATACTGTCTATCTTTTTGCAAGTTCTTCAAGGTTAATTGGGCAAATACGTCAGAATCTATACCATGCCTGACATTTCACCTGAAAACGCGTTGTTATTGTCTACAATTCATTAAGGCTGCAAATGTCAATTTTCACGTTGCATCCTCCGATGAAGAACAAGATGTTTGATATTCGCCACAGTCCAACGCCTCCCTGATATGACGAATATAATAACTGTCACTGACCTGTTTGCATCAAATTAAAATGAGCTGCTCAGACTCATTCCCACCTTGTGTTAGAACATGTACGAACCTCTTCTGAATAGCTGCTATGAAAAATGAACATGTTCAGAAAGAAATTAACTGCTCTCAGCTTGTCTATTTCATTACATCACTTACATCGGGCAACTGCATCTGTCTGACATCGAAGTCACATTTCCCTTTTAATAAACAATTAATGCGATTTGCTTGAATCACTCATTCTCTCTGAATCTATGACTTGCAAATAGTGTTCCATGAACATCACTCTTCAGTGAAAGGTGTGAATGAAGTAGAGAAGGCAGACAATTATTGGTATTTTCTTTTTTATTGGGCAATTTGTTAAATATAAAAAAAAATAAAAAAAATAGATATAGAAATATCTAAAACCCCTTGGTGCAAACACAGGATTTAAAATTCAGCCTGTAATCTATACAGAAGAATAATACACAAGATAAGGAAAAGGTAACAAAAACAAGATTGAGTTGCTGGTAAACATAGAGAAGGAAAATGTGAATATATAAATATATTTGAATACGTTAGGTAGTTTTGTATGATTATCAGAGACTGCCATTCGTTCCTATAATTAACTTAAGTCAAACGGTAATAACATTGCATCCTTAGGCATTTAAATTCAGAAACAGCACAATGAAGTTGAAACCAAGCTTCAAATCGATTGAATAGCTTTATATTGTTTATACAGCAACGGAAAAAACAATAAATAATTAATAAAATTATGCCGCTGGGTGAAATTAATATTCAGAGCATTTGGTACAGAGTAACAAGCTCAGCTGTAATTTTTCTTTATTTTCTTTGGAAATGCACTGTTAAGGATCCGGTGCGATGTTTGTGTAGTGTGTGCGCATGCTTGAATTTGTGCTTAGTCAGCTGCTCTGTATCGCTGTCATTATTTTCAATGTTAACTCCTCCAAGTCCTGTGTTTGGGAAATCCCTCAACAGTCCTGATATGTCATGGGTCGTGAAGGGGTTAGCAGTTTATTCAGTTGGAATATCCCAAGGCACTGTCTTAGGTTCTCTACTCCTCTCCATTTAAACTTATACTTATGACTTACCCTAAAGAAGAGGGTTAGCTAGATCTGATAGAAAATTCCCAAAAATTTGGACAGTCCTAGAGAATACCTATAAGAACAATTTGCAGGTGAGGTATAAATTGGTGGCACAGAGAAGGTCACTTATAGCAGTGCTCCGCTAGGTGTGCCACGGCACATAATCCCCACAACCCATACATCCCTGATTAGCTCACCCCCTCAGCTACAGCCTGTCCAAAGAACTTCCTGATTATTTTTATGGTGTCCAATTGCCACCCCGAATAAATGTTTGACCTGCCGTGACAGACATGAGACAAAGAATTAAAGAAAGCCATATCTGATGGTCAGCTTCCAAAATATGGAATCTCCTGTCCGGTCAAGATTCTTCCCGGTTTGGATAGGGTGAAAGACAGGTTATGTAAAGTTTGGGGAATTGGCAACAAAAACAGGAACTTTAAATGCAAATATCATTTAGATTTTTTTCTTCCATGTATTTGCAAAGAATTAAACATATCAAGAATTAAAAAGCTGTGGTCAATTGCAGAATTAAGTGTCTCTAACAGCATCAAATACCTGGATTTCTTTCTGAACGTGTTATACGTCATTACCTGCTTGTGACGAGACCAATCTCGCCACATTGCATTGGAGAAGCCTGGTTGCTCGCCTGCTGCCTTTGGACTATGGCCCCCTGTTAAAAGTCATCTTTTTTTACCTGCAGAAAAGCTTAATTCGTGCTTTTCTGCCTGGGGTTCGGTAGATTTGTTTGAATGTGTTATACCCCAGATAGGAATCCCATGGAGCCCATTCGTATGAAACTGACTGTAAAGACTTTGGCTCCATGGCGATTAAACTGTATTCGTGTGGTCTGAGCGCCATTCGCTTAATAATGTGCGCTCGGACCTGAGCTATCTGGGGACATGTTACATGTCTGTGTTTTATGTAATAAATGTGACTGTATGTATTTTAAAGTGTTTTGTGTCTTTTTGCAACCATGTGCTTAATGGAGTCTTGTGTCTGTCCTGGGAGATAATTGAATTACTCTCCAGGATAGAAGACTCTGAAACTGGTTTGGGCCAGAAAGCCATGCTTCATTTAGTCACAAAGGACTTTTTTACTAACTTTTGAACCCCTGGTCTGATTCATGCCATTTTTTAATATGTTGTTCCCCTGAATGGATTGATTGTGAATATGTAATTTTATGTGAATGTGATGTATGGTTTTAGAGTTATGAAAGTTGGGTAGAAAGTACGTTTTAACTGTATGTGTAATTGAGTTTCCTCTCAGGATAAGGGGAGGGAATATGTGGGATGTAACTGTGATGTGATTGGTTGTTTTATACCTCCCTGTGGGCGGTCCTGTATTTGCAAGACTGTAATAAAAACCAGGCTGGGTGTGCCAGCACCTCAGACCACTGCTTGACCCTCAACACGGAGCCTTGTCTCTCGTTCTTGGGGGGATTCACTGTATGCTGTTAGAGACTGATTGCCAGGAGTGTAAGCTGTTGTCTGCTTTTCCTGTTCGTCTGCTAGCAGCTATTTGGGAGGTTCCAGTTCGGGAGTTGGAGTGCTATTTTGTATCCAGTTCATGAGTTTTGGTGTTCTGCAGTAGCTGTGCCTGGATCTCTGGAAAGGGGCCGATCGCCTAAGCGGTTTTACCCCTTGTGTGCAAAACGGTCCGTTACAATTGGTGGCAGCGGCGGGATCGTTCCTACAGCCAGAAGGACAGCTACAGGAGACACCATTTCTTTGGATTTACAAGTTAAGGGCAACGCATGTCCCAGTACAGCGACCCTGACAGCACCAGGATGGAACCAGCAGTGGCGTACAGATACTCTATGAGAGAGTATGACCGTATGATGTGGTTGCGGCTGAACTTCTTTGGACCCAATCCAGCTGAGAAATACGTGCAGTCCATGAGAAACCTAGTGTTCATGAATCTGCAACACCGGGCAGAAAGAGAAGGTCAGCTGGCACGTTGGGAGGAACTCCAGCGACAGGTACTGCAGGGAATTGGGAGCCCAGTCTCCATTCCCCAGCGGCAATGTGATATGCAGGGAATTGGGAGCCCAGTCTCCATTCCCCAGCGGCAGTGTGATATGCAGGGAATTGGGAGCCCAGTCTCCATTCCCCAGCGGCAGTGTGATATGCGGGGAATTGGGAGCCCAGTCTCCATTCCCCAGCGGCAGTGTAAAGTGCAGGGAGAGGAGAGCAGCGTCCTCCCTCCCCAGCGGCAGGCTGAGTTACAGGGGGCAGAGGTAGTTGTTCCTGCTCCCCAGCAGCAGAGTGATATGCCGGGAAGGCAGTGTAAAGTGCAGGGAGAGGAGAGCAGCGTCCTCCCTCCCCAGCGGCAGGCTGAGCTACAGGGGGCAGAGGTAGTTGTTCCTGCCCCCCAGCAGCAGCATGATTTTTTGGGAATTGGGAGCCCAGTCTCCATTCCCCAGCGGGAGATACAGCAGGGAATTGGGAGCCCAGTCTCCATTCCCCAGCGGCAGAGTGTCCTACCGGGAATAGAGAGCCCAGTCTCCTTTCCCCAGCAGCAGGACACTGTATTGGGAGCAGTCGGTCTCCCTCCACAGAGGATGAAAGTATGTATGGGAGAGGAGCTTGCTACCACCTCTCCCCAGCGGCGGATCATTAATGGGCAGGGAATAGAGAGCTCAGTCTCCTTTCCCCAGCGGCAGAGTGTTCTATCGGGAGAGGAGCCTGTTACCCCCTCTCCCCAGCGGCAGCTTAATGTATCAGGTGGAGACAGTAAGCCCCACAACTGTGCAGATGGGACCGTAGTCTCTACACTGCCAGCACAGGGGGTAGGGACGGTCGGTCCTGCCCCCCAGCGACAGGGCTGTTTAGCCAAAGGGGAGACAGTCGGTCTCCCCCTCCAGCAGCAGAGATGGGTAACCAAAGGGGAGGCGGTCGGTCTCCAGCAGCAGGACTGTGCATCTAAAGGGGAGACAGTCAGTCTCCCGCAGCAGAGCGGTGTATTTAAAGGGGAGACAGTCGGTCTCCCCCTCCAACAACCAGGCTTCCACCAGGCTACCCTCCCAGTGGCGCTGGCAACAGGGCAGAGTGCCGCTGGTCTCTGCCCACGCAGCAACCCACCAAGTCAGCGTACCCGTACCCAGCACAGCCGTGGTGAGGCACCTGGACATGGACAAGCTTCTTCTCTACCCAGGTGTAGTAACCATTTATTGCGGGTGGGCTGTGCTGTGGATTATTTGTTGTGGGTGGGCTGCTGGACTAACAAGGGCACTGACCGGCAGGAGGTCAGATACCCTGTTAGTCTGTTTGGAAAAGGGGAGAGATGTGACGAGACCAATCTCGCCACATTGCATTGGAGAAGCCTGGTTGCTCGCCTGCTGCCTTTGGACTATGGCCCCCTGTTAAAAGTCATCTTTTTTTACCTGCAGAAAAGCTTAATTCGTGCTTTTCTGCCTGGGGTTCGGTAGATTTGTTTGAATGTGTTATACCCCAGATAGGAATCCCATGGAGCCCATTCGTATGAAACTGACTGTAAAGACTTTGGCTCCATGGCGATTAAACTG